AGAATATTCTCATAAAAATTCTACACACTAGTTTCCCGGTGAAAACGCATTGAAGATAGCCAGTGCCGTCTCTCAAGATAACGAATTTTATGTCTTTCCCCTGAGTCCGAATGCGATGAACCCAACCTGAAACTTTGACATATTTACCGCGATTGGCAACGGCTCCACGAATCTTTATCTTATTTTTTGAAATGACAATGTCGATCAATAGCTCCAAACTATAATCATTGTACAATCGATCTGCAACATACCTTTACAGCTTGTGAAAGATTTGGATCTTTTTCAAGGACAATTTTTTTTGCTTCTTCTAACAATAATCGCTCTTTCTCGGTTTCCAATCTCTTCTGTTCCTCAAGTTTCTTTGCTTTCTTTGCAAGTTCCTCTACGCGTTTTTTTGCTTTCTTCAAGGCTGCACCTGAAGGATCATTATAATCACCATCGGATTCTTTTTTGATAAGTATCTTGATATTCTCTCCTCGCTTTTGAAATGCACAGATCAATGTTTGATACGGTGCCTCCCTTTCTCCAGTGCCAGTTTCGTCCGAACCCTGAATCTCGTCGACATAAACGGTGGAAGCTTATTTGTAGGAAAAAAAAAAACGAAAAAGGGTTTCAAGTTCGACACGTAGTTATGCCACAATGCACTTCCGAATTTTAAACTCACGATCTCCCAGGGAAAGTTGTTCAGTGGCTTTGTGTAGATCGCCCATTGATGACCTTGTGGAAAACGAAGGGTAAAAACCAGAATGACTACCAAAAAAAAAAAATCCACCTTATATTGGTCATTAACTGGTTATTTCTTTTTTTGTTCTATCAAACTGAATGTTACACGTGAAGGATGTTCCTATTATATCCAACATATAAATTCGGTTTCTCACAATAGGATCGCCATCGTCTGTGTAACAGCTTAGGTGTTATGTACAAAAATAGTTTATCAACAGTTTTTGTTTCCTTGGAATTTTGATTTCTCAATCATAAAAGAATGCATGTCAATTTGTGACTATTAAAAATTGTTTAATATTAATCATAATATACTGTATTAATAAAATTATTATATACATATATTTATTCGTTCTGATCAAGTGATAAAATTCG